GTTGGCGGTGTTGCAGAACGTCGTACGGTCGAGGAGAGCACTTGGCGCACGTCTGAACCTGCCCGACATCTCTCGGACATCGTCACTACCTCTGGGTTACAGCTGGGGTACAATGAACAAACCTGTCTGGACTCGAACATCGAGACCCCCCAAGGTCCCAACGTCCCGCCTCCCCCCGCTCGTCTGTCTTGTCGGGGACTTGCTGCCTCGACGGCCTTCAGGTTTTCGTGAACAAACAGTGTGCCGATATGTCGACGTATATACGTATGTATGCATGTATGTATGTAGACCTGTTCGTTCCTTAAACTCTATGTGTCTATTTGTTTGCAAACTTGCTTATTTACTTATCCACCTATTGCTTGATGTGTTCATTTATCCTTTTACTAACGGCTTGGGCCTGGGGGTGCGTACACCCCCGAAGCTACTGAAGCTGCAAGCCGCCTATTCCTTTCTATACGATGCAATACTACAGCGACTGCACTACTTAAGAAAACATTGGAACAAGAAAGTGAGAGTCTCGAGAGGGCTCGTGAGGGCCCACTGCCTGAAAGCTATGAGCAAGACTACAATACGAAAACTAAGAAAACCAGAGTACTCTTCTGGGGTCAGAATTTGGTCCTAAGCCTTCCACCCTCAACCAAACCTTGTTCAATGCTGCGCTCCCCAAATCTCAGCCTCAAGCTCCCTGGAGTCCTGGGAGCCCTTGAAAAGCCTTGGGGGGCCGGGGAGCCTGGCAAGCCCCGGGAAGCCTTCAAAACTAAAAAAATCCCAGGGTCTGGTTTTCTTGTTCAGGCCCGTTTTGTTTGAGAGACCCTGGGAGTTCTGGTAAGCCTTGGAGGCCCTGGCAAGCTTCGGGAGGCCTTCAGAGCCCAACACCATCAATATAAGAACATGCCAGAATCTGGTGTTCTTACAAAGCCCGGTTTGTTTCGGAGGCTGCTGGGAGCCCCTGGGGCCTTGCTTCTGCATCTACATGTGCTGCCTGACAACAGCCCGTTCAAATAAGCCCACTGCCCACAAGACTCTATATATATATATACATATCTGTTTATCTACACACGTACACGTATACATACATACATACATACATACATACATACATACATACATACATACATACATACATACACATATATATGTATATGAATATATACAAATGTGTAGACAGAAAGAACAAAAGAATAGCATGGCTCTTTTTGTCATTGGGGACATTTGACCTTATTCGTAGCAGGCGGGATTGAACATAATAAAAGACTTCAGAAAACCAGACTACCCTGACTGGACAGATGCCCTAAAATTCGCCTGCGCAAGTGGTTTCAAATATCAGAAAACCAGACTACCCCGGCCCCGGAAAGCATCTTCTTATCCAGCACTAGCGCTGTTTCCTTTTCTGTACGGTACTGTATTATTGCACTGTACGGTACTGTATTATTGCACTGTACTGTACTGTACTGTACTGTACTGTACTGTACTGTACTGTACTATGCTATACTCTGCTACACTATGCTATGCTAGTGCTCGAATCTATTCTACTCTACCCCATCCTGAACCCAAGAAGTCTAAGCCCTAAACCAAAGAACCCTAAGTAAGCCCTGCAAAGTCCAGAATCCTAAGCAAGAACCCAGGCCCTATATCCAAGAACGCAGCCTCAAACCCAAGAAGCCTAGACCTTAAGCCCTGCACCCAAGAACCCGAAGTCCTAAACCCAAGAACCCTCAGTCAAGAGCCATTAGCCCCTAAACCCAAGGAAACCCAAGAAGCCAACTCTAGGCCCTGAGCCCGAAAGCCCTAAATCCAAGAACCCTAAGCCCTAAGCACAATAACCTTAAACCCAAGACTCCTGAACCATACTAAGCCCCGAGTCCGGAACCCAAGAACCCAAAGCCCAGCCTCAAACCCAAGATTCCAAGAAGTCTAAGCCCTAAACCCAAGAACCCGGAGCGGATGTCGAGACGTGTCCCTGATTCGTTAGATTCTACTATACTCTACTCTGCAGTGCGATACCTTACTGTACTGTACCATGCTGTCCTGTGCTGCATTGCACTGCACTATTCTATTCGATATAAACTACTATAATGTACTATCTATACTGTACAGTACCATTCTATGCTATGTTATGCCATGCCGTGCTATGAGGTTGTTGCGACACTCTTTGCCCAGTCCCTCCTCGTTACACTCTATACTCTACTCAGCTCTACTCTACGTTACTGTAAAGCACTATACTTGCCTGTGCTATCCTTTTCTAGGCTATGCTAGGCTAGGCGAGACTATGCCATGCTGTGCTATAATCTACTCTACTCCAGTCTACCCGACTCGACTCACTCTACCCTAAACCCAAACTCAAAACGCCGATCTCTATACCGCAAGATCTCAAAGCCCACGAAGCTTTAAGTCCTAAACAAGAACCCTAGTAACCTAGGCCCCAAATCCAAAAACCCTACGCCTCAAACAAGAAACCAATGCCTTAAACCCGAAACCCAAGAACCCAAAGCCCTCAAGCTCAAGAGCCATTCACCCTAAACCCAAGCATCCTGAAGCCCAAACAACCCTAAACTCAAGAACCCTAAGCCCTAAACCCACGAACCCTGAACCCTAAACCCAAAAGTCCTAAGCCCTGAAGCCAGGCACCCTAAGTCCTCAAAGCCAAGAAAACTAAGCCTCAAACCCGAGATTCCAAGAACCCTTAGCCATAAACCCTAAGTGGATGTGCGACACCCTATGCCCAGTCCCTCCTTAGTCAGATTATGTGCTCTAGTCAACTCTACTCTGAACTCCTGCACTACACTGTACTGTACCGTACTATACTACGCTAAACTATACTGACTGCACTATACTATACTTTTGCCTTGCTAGGCCTTTGCCAAGCCCTTACTAGGCTACTCTAGCCTAGGCTATGCCATGCTGTGCTATCGTCCACTCTCTGCTCGACGCTGCTCTACTCTACCCTAAACCCAAAGCCCAAGAACCCTAAGCCACCAGCATTGAACCCTAAAGCCAGGAACCCGAAGTTCCAAGAAACCCTAGCCTTCCAAGAACCCTCAGTCCTAAACCCTGTCCCCAAGAACCCTCGGTGGATGTCTCGACGCCATGTGCCCAGTCCCATCTGCATTACATTATTTACTCTACTCAGCTCTGCTCTACTTGTGTCTACTCTGCGGTACTGTACTGTGTGCTACCGTACTGTACTATACAGGACTGCGAGACACTATGGAATACGATACTATAGTTGACCTTTTGACTATACTATACTATACTAGATTACACTATGCCGTACTAAACTATACAGTACTGTACAGAATTGCACTATACCATACTAACTATACTATTTTTATACTTTGTCATGCAGTACTATACTGTACCGTGCCGGCCATGCCATGCTATGCTGTGCTACACTATGCTACGCTATGCTATTCTCTACTCCACTCTATCCGCAAGACTATACGAACCCTAAGCCCTCAACGAAAGAGCACTCAGCCCTAAGCCCAAGAAGTTTACGCCCTAAACCGTCCTTGAACAGAAGAACCATGATTTTGCGAGGTTGCTTCACAAGATACTACATGGGCATTTGCACTATAGCGAGTTCTGTTGCCTTCTATTGTTCGGCGTTGTAGTAGCTTGGTTTCGTCTGTACAGGTTCACATTGATCTGTTGGTGTATATGACGGTATATGATACAACATGATGCTATATGATGTGATATGTCCTTGTATGATACTAGACTACAGTTACAGTATACTTTACTTACTTGTAGTGGGTCATAAAGAACAAGAAAATTGCTCGTCGCATCATATTCTTCTTATATCATGCATATGATGTCTTTGCACTACATCAGGATTAGGCTATATTAGATGACCCCATATCTAATTTATGATGTTCTCAAATACAATATTGCATTACAGCATATCATCATATCATACATTTGGCATTGTATCACATAACAATATTACAAGCACATCATATGATAATGTATTGTAGTTTAGTTTAGTTTACTAAGTTTACTATCCTATTCTATTCTTTTCCATTCCATTACGTTAGGGATCATGGCGTACTGTAGCCTCCCGGTTCTTGCAAGCAGATTTCTGGGTGGGCACCTCCCTGACGCGAGAACGTGCTCTGGCGGCGATGGTCCGCTAAACCACCGTTAGGTGTCAAAGCTGATGCGCCGCAGCTTCGGGCGACTTTGGTGGCTTCTTTGAGCTTTGCAGCTTCATCCCAAAAGTTGGCCCCCCAGGCTTCCTTGACTCATTTATTCGTTTGTTGGTTCACATCGATTCCTTCATTTCGCCTTCCTTCATTCTTTTAAGTCTTTCATTTCACGGCCAGTCCTTTCGTTTCCTTTCCTTTCCTTGCCTTTCCTTCCGTCCTTCCTTGCATTTCATGTCACTGCATGTCATTCCATACATGCTTCATTCATTCAATCATCCATCCATTCATCCATTCAACTCATTCCCTTCTTTCACTAATCCATTGACTTGCTTCATTTACTTGTTTATTTGTTGAACTACTCACGCATGTTTGTGATGATATATTTATTTGTTCATTTGTTCGTCTATATTCTACGCAGACATGCTCTGTAATCTGAAACGCCCCAAGCCTGGCGAGGGGTCCTTTGTTCTGGAGATAGCTGTGGCTCACCGCTACTGCCTCGGCTGCAACAAAGGCAGCTTCCAATAAGGTCTGCACGGAATTTCACGAGGAGACGAATGCGCTGAGATCTCCCGAAACTTCTACACTGGTAAAGGAAAGCGGCGCTTTGGTTCACGAGGCGAGGATAGCACCGGATGTTTCTCGCTGGACTGTGGTCTGTTCAACTTGCTCTTCTGCTTGGCTTCCAGATCTCTAGCCAGAGGACTGAATCTCCAGCGGGGCTCCGTCGACATCTGGTGCGTGCTCCCAGGCCGTAAGGTCTTCCAGAAGTCATGGACAGCTTCTGCAACCCTTTTGGTGTTGGTGGAACTGGACTGAAGCTCAAATGCAGAGTTGTCCTGCTCACTCTCAGAGCTAATACGCGGCGGGCGCGGGGTCAGCAACCTGGGAACGGGCGGCGTGTCCACCCCTTTGGAAAGCGGACGGCGCTTTCCAATAGGCGGGGGGGGAGTGCGCCCGCTCTGCCTAGCTTGCCGCATGGGTGCGATGGTACCGCGAGACAACATGCTCATGCTGCGCACTGCTTACTGCTACAGTTCACCGATGGGCCCCGGGAATGTCCAAAACGTGCTGTAACGTTGTTTGGAATGTGGAACTTGGGGGCTCTGCTCTGCTCTAAGATGTGGATTTGGCCTCTCCTTAGAGGTCTCGAGCAGTAACTGCAGGGCTGGGTGTGTCTGAGCAGCGGCCATCCGCGAGGCGTCTGAAGCCTGAAAGTCCCAAAAGTGTCCTCGCTCACCTCAGGGGGTGGTGGGCCCATTTCGGAGCTGCCAAGGCCGGCAGCAGGAAAGTTATCCTGAAGATCAAGAACCTGCCAAGGCAGGAGGGGGCTGCAGATGATACCACCAGTCACATGGAAATTCCGGGGTGCTGACGCTCAGCGAGGCAGACGTCACAGCCGCACAGACTGACCAAGCAAGACCACGGAAAGGGCATGTCAAAGCCGGTGGACTTCGCAATCGTGCCTAGGTCAAGAAAGATCTCTTTTGTCAGAAGGCCCAGTTCATTCCTCGGTAGTTCGCACCGTGGGAAGCAATGTCATGGGCAACAGCTCAATGCCAACAAGCAAAAGCTACAGTCACGGTTCGGTTTGCTGCTGTCCGCACAGAAGCAACAGCTTCATCCGCAAAACCACTGTGGGCCTGACTGTGCCAAATTGAGGAACTTCAGGTCCGGATGGTTGCAGACCACCTGACGCACGCTTCGGCGACTCTCCGAATCGGAACATCGGAGCATGGCGCAGCCGCCTCCGCCCAGCGCCGCGCTCCGAGTTCGCCTCGGTCTTGGCTTGGCTTTGCGATGAGTTGCGATGGAGTGGAGAGGGTGTAGGACGGCGTAGGACCGTAGGATACCGTAGGCGTACTGTGGATTCGGTCCAAGCCACGGCTCCTGTTCCCTCGTAAGTCCACGGAAAGCACCGGCAATGGCACGTTTGACACGGCCTGCCGACACAGCTTCGCAGGCATGCATGCCTTCAAAGGGCGAACAAGGCCAAGGGTTTCTGCAGACACCTCGATGTCATCACCTTCCTCTGGAGGAGCAACACCTCCGATAGCCTCCGCAATGGCTATGCTTCCACGCTCCTTGTAGCAGGCTTCGATCCGTCGCCAAAGTGCACAGGCATGCCAACACTACCCCACAATGCAACGATTCTCCTGTATGAAGTTGTCACACAGCTCGATGCTGGTGAGTCTGGGAAGATTGCCAAGGCTGGCAGCAATGATCGAAGCACCTGGCCATTACGAGCAGTGTTTTCCGAATTCCCGGCTCGCCAGGTGTAAATCACTTGCAAAGGCTCTTGCAACCCTGCACAGCTGCCTTCGTCACCGATGTCGTTGGAAACAAGAGCAACATGCTCTACGCTGCTGCCAGTGTCCACGAGCGCTCTGAACCTAGAGTACTTCTCGGGACGTTCTACGTCTTACTCCAAGTTCGATGTCTCTGAGATGCGAGCAGAAGCTCGGTCCCGGCATCCCCCAGATGATTGTAATTCAGGTTTACCTGCCAAACAAAACACCACTTCAGGACCTTCGAGCAATGCGATTGCACGCGCGGGTCTGACGACCTTGACAAGCTAGTCCAGGATCGCTTACACTTCGCTGAGCTTTGCAAGCACCAGGGCTTCGACATGAGTGAGAGCCGGTAACTCTGTCAGCTCAGGGAGCTTGGTGATGTGAGCCGGTCCTCAAAAGCCCGCTTGGCCGTCTTGCGGCTCTGTGAGCACGGGAGCACCGCATGAACGCAAGCGCGAGTGGGAGAGAGAAAGAGAGAGTGGCGGCGAACGCCAAACAAGCCATTGCCAAGCCCGGTGCCGAGGTCCAAATGCTGCAGGTCCACGGACCTTTGCAGAAGATATCTGCATGCTGATCGTTGAGTGATCGGTGTCTTCGATCCAGGTGGTGGTTTGCACACTGCGAGGGATGCGTACACTCAGAAGAACGTTTGGGCGGCTGGCGGCTAGAGAGTTACAAGATGTTACAAGTACAACCAAAGTGCCAAATGTGCAGAGACGCGTCGGAGCAGAGGCAACGAATGGACCGTGCTTTTTCAGCAGACCGATGGCTTAAGCCCGCCAGTTGCGTTCAACAGGTGCAATTCCTGGCAATTCCATTTGGCAATGAGCACCTGTAATTATGGATGGCCGGATAGTCCCCAGCCCAAGTTCCTCTGGCTACAATGCTTTCGAGCAAATGGGGATCGAGCGTCGCAACTGCAAAGAAACCTGACACGTCCACCTCACCCGGAAGACCTGACGCAAGCAGAGCTTCGGGGCGTGCTGGAATCTTGGAGCCCTCTGCGGCTTTGGCTTATCGCAGCAAGCTGATCCGGTGGCATCACATCGTGGTGAGTCAGCTCCGCGTCGTCTTTGCCTGGTTAGCAACCGACTTGGGAATACGGCAATGAGCAATAATGCTATATGGTTCTCTCTCCGGGGCTGGCCGTAGAGAGTCCTGTAGCAGCAGTGCAGGCGCTGCCGGTTGATGTTATTCACCTAAGGACATGTGACAAGCGACAAGTGGCCAAGTGGCAGGTGGAGGTCACCTGGAGGCCTGGCATAAAGCGCTTTGGGTGGGCCTGTGCCGCCTGGCTGGCCTGGTCAAGTGCCCGAAGAGAGCTAGAAGAGAGCTTCAGCACACACCGTGCTGGCGCCCAAAGCCTTGTTTTTGCTTGGCTTTTCGTCGTCTCGCAGCTTTGTCCTTCTGCCAGACTCCAGGGGACAGTTCATCTCATGCAGGAGCATTATTCCTGCAGGCGCTGCTTCATGAAGCCGAAGCTGTCCATTGCCTCAAGACCAGGAATGGACTCGACAGCTGCAAAACTGCCGCTGACTTGAATAATCCTCCTTGGTCTTGTGCCGATTGTCCACTTCCGGTGGGGTTTCCAGCGGGCCTTCCAGGAAGCAAAGCAGAAGTCCCCAGACCGGCCACTCAACGACTCTGGCTTAGGCAGGCACGTGATGAGCACATCATGACCCGCTGAAGCGAGTAAGTCCTGCCACAAGTGGATGAATGCAACGCCAAACTCAACCTCAAGCGATGCAAGGCTACCTTGCGAGCTGAGAAAGAAGCGCGAGAAAGAGCGGAGAAAGGGGAAAGGCAAGATGAGGGCAGATGGAAGAGAAGGCCAAGGCTCGCCTCACATCCCGGAACTGACGGAACCATCGACACACGGAGCTCCGCCAAGATCGGACCTAAGGCGCGGCTCGGAACTTCAATCAGTCCTCATGCATGGACAAGCGGATTCACAAATCGTCAGGGGCTCACTGTCACTGCCAGCAACAAGGTGCCATGACACCTACTATGCATGCTTCTGCCCTCGATGTACACTACAGACCCTACGGTACGACATGATTAACTTATCCGCCAGTTTTGTGGACTTTGAAACGATTGGCCAATGTTGAACAGCCGCTATCGTTTGCGGCCACTTGCTTGACACCCGAGACATGGCACAAAGGCAGGACTGCATCTCAGAAGGTCAACTCGTGCTCGTATCTCGCGCTTGTCGCTCCTATCCGTTTATCTTGGGCATGTCACCCCTTCCATGCAACGACCGGCCAGTTGTTGCATGTATGCAAGTACTTCACTCGAAGACATTCCCTGCGAATCGTTTGCATCCGCGTAGTGTCTGAGGCATGGGCATGCTTCAAAGAGCCTGCATGTAGAGTCGATGTGCGCCTGCAGTCGTGCCTGAGGAAGCGGCTAGCTGTTGCCACTGCGCACAAACACGAGATCTTTCCAATGGGCTGCAGGCAGCTACAGCAGCCACCTTACCACCCTCGACAGGTGGCGGAAATGGACTGTCATTACCTAGGCAAAAGCGGAGTGGCCAGTCAAACAGAATCGCAGTGCCGAGAAGAGCACTGCAGGGTGCACCAGCCTGAATGCAACATAACGAAACATGATGCAACATGCAAATTGGGAAGACACAAAACGAGCCGCAGGCCTGGTGAGCCGGCCTGCAGACAGAGCTGCTTTCAGGCTTCAACTCGGGATTCTCTTCAGGCCTCCCCCAGAACTCTGATGAACCGGATGTTGCGGTGAGTAGATACGGTGACACGACAATGTGCCTTGCGCAGGTGCTGCGCAGAGATCTGTGTGGCTGAAGATGAAAAGGCGTCAGTTTTAACATCCCAGTGCATCCAGTGCCAGTAACTCAAATCAAGGCAGCTCAGGAGCATTCCCCACCCGGCTCACCAAAGCGGCAATCCGTGTGAAGAGCTGTCTTCGTCAACGTGCCCGACCACGCTAACACATGCACTGAGAGGTCTTTTAGGCACCGACACATGGCAGTATGGAATGGTCTGGAAGTGATGCATAACCTTGGGCATGGAACTGTTGCTGTTGATTGCTGACAACGTTCTCGAATGCAGAGCCAGGAGCCCGGCGCCTGCAAAGAAGTGTATGTCACACTCGGACATTGAGGCCAAAGAGGTGACCTCCGCTGGGACGTTTCGGCGTTTGACAAGAAAACGTTGCAGCATGTGGCCTTGCCACCCGAGGCTTGCCTCGCACGACGGATTGACATCCGGCTGAGGTACTGAACCAGTCTCTCCGCCAACAACCAAACTTGACGCCCGGTCTGTGTCGCTGCACATGCCGGATCGCCCTTTCAGCAGCTTGGAACAATTTCAAGCCCGGGTTAAGACGCTCTGCATGCGGGGGATGTCCCGGCCAGCCCTTGCGAGAGCTGTGGGAGCTGAGCACCCGTCGGGATGCGCCCAATTCGAGGATGTGGGAGGGGAAAGACAAACACTTCCCATGTCCGCGGGTGCAAGGCAAGGCTCGGCAATTGGATGACGAGTCACACCCTAAACACAGCAAAACAAATGCCCGGACCCCTGCTGTGCACCATCCTACAACAAGTTCATGCAAACTGCAGATAGCCCAACCGGCCGGTGAGTGCTCCGACTGAACCGGGCTCGTCTGAGCTCGGGACAAGCTGGCATCAAGAAAGTTGCGAAGCCTTGGCAGTGTCGGTGATGAGAAGTGCCATTCGCCGCAAGACTTAGGAAATTTCGCTGAGGCGTTGTCAACATCGGTGGGGCAGTTTGCCGGCTACCGCCACCACCCGCGCTGCGAGGTATGGCCTGAAGCGCCTAGGCTGTGGCGCCGCAATGCAACCACTTCTCGTCTCCCGCGTTGGGTGTCGTTCCGAGGATACAGAGTGCGACTACATATGAGGCAGGCTGTTCCGCTCTTGCAGCAATCTTACGCTGCACTAAATCGAGCTGCTGCACCTCCACATCCGCTCGCATGCGCAGCAAATGATTGGAGTCTAGCTTCGATGCACGAAACAGCTCGAAACACGCCTTGTGGCGAGTTAAGCCTTAAGGATATTCTGTCTGTTCCGGCAGTTTCAGGAGAACCTCGTACCAGGGCTCTCTCATGTCACCAAAGAACTGAGAGACCCGTTTGGTAGCTCTTTGACCACCCTTTGCAAAACTTATATGCTTGTGACTTACCAAGACGATTCAATCCATCCTTCGACGTCTGCTTCTGCAATCTACCAGTGGTTTCGACTCAGTCTCCGTAGAACCAAGTTCGGGCCCCAGGCTTCCATGTCGACACCGTTGACCATGCGCAGGCTGCTTCCTGTCGCACCACCCTGTCGCCAAGACTAAGACTTCCAGAAGCCTAGACATTAGACAACTCGAGTTAGCAAGGGGACATGTTCGACGCCGTGGCCTCACGACTGTGTTGCATGAAATTGAGGAGCTCGTAAGCTGACCGAGTCTTCCTGGGTGACACCATAAGCTAAGCATGGTATGACCACGGATGATGAGCACATCTGCATAGTCATTCGGCAAGTGACGAACAGCTTAGGCCGCTTCAAGCGCAAACAGCCGCGAAGATTGAGTTCGCATAGGCCGCCGCGCAGTGCCCCACTCAGGTACCTATTACACTGAAGGGGTGGCCAGCCACTAAGCAACAACGGCTACCACGTCTCTGTCGAGCAGTTGTCGAGCCCGTACAGCACATCGGCACGGTGTCTTGAGCGTGTGACACAAGTCAGTCACAGTAGCATCCGTGATCTGCAAGTTGCCTAACAGGTGAGACGTTACAAAGACATGATAGAATCCTCAATCACGCCTGAGAGATCGATTTTTGTGAGGTTGACCAAGCCACCTCAGCGCAGACGAGATCGGAACTCAATCTGCTAACAGGCGTACAAGACGGGCGTAAGTCTTCAACCGCTGCGCGATGCACCCTGCGCAACAGGCTTCTGCCCGCCCCGCAGCCCGACAAAATCTGTTTACTTCGAACATCCGGACTCGAAAAGAAACTCAACTCGTTGGATACTATACACGTCGAACTGTGTGGGATACACTGCACCATACTTGGCAGGATACTCCGGGTGCGGGCACTACAGACAATTCGCTGCGAGGTCTCTGCGCACTGCACAAGTACTTTGTGGGATACTTTGGCTGGAGCGCAGGCACCCAGGCCAATCCAAGATGCTCTGCGGAATGGTCTGGGGACAGGTACTGCATGGATACTCTGTGGAATTCTCAGAACAGCTAGATTGATGGCAGCAAGCCAGCTGCCTGGCCAGCAAAGTGTCTCAGCATGGCACAAAGGCCTCTCAGACCCACATCCTTGAGACGGCAGTCATGCATCAGACAATCATGCTGCGATGGTCACTGCATGTCTGTGTCTGAGGAACAGTCTGTGAGACTGTGGCCTCGACAAAAAGACATCAAATTGGAGACGTCTTGACCACATCACAGGCCGAAGGCTTCTCTGCCTTCCAATTTCAGATCAGCTAGGCCGGCCCCGCCGGCACCTGCAATCGTGTTTCTTTGCACTCCAAACTTTCTCCTCTCGGCAGATCCTGCCTCCTGCGAAAGCAACAACCGACCACAAGGCCAGGCGTGCCTCCACTAGAAAGCATCTCCGCATGGACACGACACAGCTCCGCAGGTTCCAGCCATAACCCCCAGCGTAAAGTCGTTCCATTCCTGTCGACTGCTTCGCCACTCTCCACCTTCTGTCACTGCTTCGAAGAGCGCAACAGCTCAGCTTCGTGCGATGCTGTCGGAGAGCTCAAGTGGAGCGCCACCTTCAAGCGATTCGAGGGGCCCCGCATGAGCCCCGCTCCAACTCCAGCCTTCAGGATGATCCTTCAGCTGAACCAATCTGGACAGCGGGAGACCGTTTAAGCCTTAGTGGTGGGGGTCTGCTGCAACGCACCACGTTCCTCTGCAGTTTGGACCTCGTGCTACACCAGACACTTCTGTTGAACTGAACATGTTCAGCATAGAGCTGCATGCAGCCCGCATTACAACGCTTGCCATGATGCGTGCACGCGGCACGTCCTCACAAGCTTCCCAATCTTCCTATGAAGAAGCTGATGCCCGAGGCCCCTTTTCGAACGCGTGGGAGTGCCTTTTCGCGACCATATCACTAAGGCAGGCACTGACCAGGCGAGGCGCTAGCTCTGCAACCGCCTCTTACAGTTATCAAGGGAGTCTGAAACTGCCGTGATTCTCGTGCCTGCAAGAGCAAGCTTGCACCCCGACTCGACAGTCTTAGGTCAGATATCCGCAGTACTTCCTCGGAGACTCAGGTGCCATGCCCGGGCACACAGCAGTCAGGCAAGCAATAAGAAATTGACGGTGCTGGGGGCGGAGCAACGGACCGCAGATTCAGAAGAGCATCTGTTAAGTGCGCCTTGGAGGTTTATGATGTCTGCTGCAGCACGCATACGGCAACTCGGCAGCACTTCAAAGAATAGATCCCACAATGAGCGCGGCCAGTGTGGAATCGTGCGGAATTTCCAGCCTGCGAAGAGTGACCTGGACATGACAAGACAAAAGAGCTAAAAGGCTCACACGGCCTGCCACACCGCGCCCGAAACGCGCACACACACACACACTCTCTGCCGCTTCCGATACCTCGCGTAACTCTGGGAAGGAGTTGGGAGTGACCTTGCGAGGGCACTGTGGCCGTGCAAGCTCCTAGTCAAAAAAGTGCGATGGTGCGCTGCTGGCTTGTGCAACTCAGTCCTTGCTTGAGTGGAGCTGAGATGCTAACCAGCTGCAGAAACAAGTAGCCATCACCTGAGCAGCAGAGATTTTCCTTGTAAGGCTCCACACAATCTAACCAGGTCCTCTACGAACACAACTCGAGCTTTTTCCTGTGGCAAGGAGTCGAACAGCTGTGGCAAAAGCTTCGGGCCTGTTTCTTCTGCCGCACGAAAGCTCGCTTTTGACAAAGCTTCTGTTGTCTGCATCTGCAAAGAAAGAAACTGTAGGTCGGCAAGGCGTGGCGATTGCACAAATGGCTCACAAAGTCCTTCATCATCGACCTACTCGTTTCAGATCACCACAGCACCTACAGGAAGTGGCCAGCAGTGAGGCGGCAATGACTTTCGAATGTCGGCAAGCTCCCGTAACAGGAGGCCACCATTGCCTAAAAGCAAAGGCAAGCAGACAGAGGTACTGCACTAGAAGCATGCCCACAGCAGCATGGCTTGCTATCCGGAAAGCTTGATTGCCAAGGGCTTCTTCGTGCCCTTCCTCGAACCCTTGGGGGGGGGGGGGGGGGGGNNGGGGGCCCTTTCTACCCTCTGTCCTGGCTTCGAATTCTCGAAGAGCCAAGAACTTCTCAAAACAAAAATCCGAGAAGCGGAACCTGCAGACCGCGATGTGGTGTGATGCACGATCACTATCCACGTATGCATGCATGTGTATGCAGTATTCACACATATCGGCACATGCACTGACATGTTATATATGTATGTATAGACATATGTAATATGTATCCCTATACGTACGTGCAAGGGGCGGACGGACAGGCAGAAACAGACGTGCATACGTATGCTTGCGTCTATGTCCTTGCAGGCCAGTGTTGATGCCTGTGCCAACTGGGAACCCGAAAAAAAAATATACCCACAACTCCGACAAATCACTCTGGGCACAGCTAAAGCAATGCATTTGTGCGCATTCGTCGGTAATTTTTCTGGCATTATGATGAGACATAAACCGATGCTGGATCGGGACGGTCGTCCATTTGCTTATGTGCTGGGCTTGGTACACCTAGAGGCTTTGTGTGGGGAACCAACGGATGCACCAGGACTCGACACAGGCTGATTCTGAACAAAATGGGACGGAGTTGGTTACTGGCACTTGAAGTAAAAAAGGAGTTTAAATTAACCTGCGGGGCGACACCATTGATTTCATTGACTAGATCGTATGAGAATGTACTACGTGGAAAGCAGACAACATCGCCAAAATCCGTCAGCGCAGTTTTGCTGGCAAACACACAAAACCAGTTTCACAGAACGCAAGCTGTCTATCCCGGTTCGATTCCTGATCAGGCGCGGCAGAGAACGCCGCAAAAACGACAGTCCATGCTGCTTGCTGACCACGCTGCTTTGTAGAAGTCGCTCGTTTGAAATTGGCTCGTGTAGCACCAGTGCATCAACAACAGGCTTTGTAATTATGCGCAGGTACTCTGGGATCTCACTGCGGCATCGGGAGTCCTCTGCAAGTACGATCTGCATGTAGAAGCCCCGCTGCCGGTCAATCAGTGGAAAGTAGCCGTAAGCTCCGGGTCCAGCTTGAATTGATTCCTTCAAGCAAACTGCTGAGAGTGCTGCTGAAGATCCTTCATCATGGCCAGATCCATAGCCCATGCAATCAAACCAATGACCCATGCCTCAGATCCATCAGGCTCTTCTTCAGTATATATTATACGCGATCAAAATACCAAGATACAATATGAATAATTAACTGACATGACCGGCACCTCAAAATAGACAGTCGCCCGGTACAAGCGAGGCGGCCATAGTGACCAAACCAACCGTCGCCGCATGGAGACACGGGTGGCGCAGACCAGTCCTTCTCCATTTCTGACAGAACCTCCCTTCCAAGAAACTCGTACGAGAGAAGCTTCTGCAGCATCTTCTCAAAATCTGAACCCGTGGTTGTGATGCCAAACGCAAACTGCGGATTCCTTGCAGGTGTCCAGGTGGTCCCGTTCATGCCTGTGAGCATGTGGCATCGCACAGCAAAGTGCCAAAAAATCGTGGCATCCACAGGGGATTGGACTACTATTGACAGATGATCAACACTCTGCCGGCAGGGCATGCTCAGAACTGTTGCGCCTAAGGGGTCGTAGAGGTATTTCTGGAAAAGCTTGTCAGGTCTAAGACCGGAAGCTGCGACCGCCATTGCTGCTGCCAGCTGAAGGTGGATCGAGATATAGGCCCAGGTTTCTCCTCGAGCCGCCGACGCTGTCTAGAACAGAAGACTCACTGCGAGAACTCCGGCTACTCCAGTCCTGGTGGGCTTGTCAACTTAGCAGTCTCATATAAATGCCTTGCGCACGAAAGAAAGTCTGCCCACGGATTGAAGCTGCATAGGAGCTTGGGATCTTTCGTATAACCTCAAGGCCATAACATGATCGCCAGACGTCTGTTGCATCCACGAAGCTAGGGCATCCGTGTTAAGGCTGGAAGCCAGATTGGAAGGTCATGAGGTCTCGCAAGGTTATTCTGCTTCTAGGATCTTCAGAATCTGTGGACCACCAAGCCAAGTACTTGTTGGCCTTGTCGTCGAAAGAGAGCGTGCCTGATGACATCCAGAGACTTCGATAGTGTGGGTCGAAAAGTGGTCTGATAGATCAAGCAGTAGTACTGGCAGGCATTGTGTCGCAACATATCACAATCGCTTTCACGAGGCTCCTTCCCTACGAAAGGTCTACACATGCCACATGTCTACATGACATTACAGCAACAATCAGCAAAATCTAGCTAAACCAAGCAGCCGTCAGCTACGAGGCCGGCAATCGCCAAAGCGGCTGGCCACTTGGAGAGACTGGCGCCTCTCAAGCGCTTGTTCATTCCTGTCGTACCTCGCAAGTTGTGTCGACAGCCTTTCGCGAAGCAAGCGATACCGGAGAAACAACGAAGCAAAATGCGTCGCTGCCTTTGGTGTAGGTGTAGAGCGGCCCCTTCGCAGAGCCTTGACATCGAGCAAGCACGCGGCGGTACCACAAGCGAAAGCTCCAGTTCTCAGAACCTTGCCAACATTGAAGGAGAAGTCCTTGTCCCAGCCCAGTGATGCCCATGCATCTAGGCCGTCCTGCAGTAGCTGCCACCCACCTGCCGAAGAATGGCCCTTGACCAAGGAGACGAGAGCTGGCAGCGTCAATCCTCCTGCCACTGCCGGACTCAGGCCATAGGGCTACATAGGATTCATCAGTGATTCTGAGCGACAGTAACGCCTCCTCGCGAGAGCAGCTCAGAGCGGCTCACGCTGCCTGGTCCCACAGCTTTCGCAGGGTCCTGCCGGTGGGGGCGGCGGGAAGGCGCTCGCATCTGTGCGGATCTCTCCTTCCCGTCAAGAATTGCCAGAACTGCGGGAACAGAGACTTGGCGCAAAAGATCACCTGATCAGTTCGCCCCTAGGCCCTAGGTAGGTGATTCAACAAGCTCCCCTGTTTTAGTCTAGGAGCTTTTTTGGCCATGGATGCGGATGTCGATGCCATACTTCTCAGTTGTCTCTGAAGGCTGAAGCGGCCGCAGATCTCCGACATCTCCAAGCGGATATCTAAACAGAACATGACTGCCGTTGGCAACCTCAGCACATGATGCGTTCTCAAGGTTCTGCGAACTGCTTGAAGGAAAGAGTTTGCATCGGGCAGCCTCAAAAGTGAAGCTCGAATCAAATTCGAATGATTGCCATGCTTTCAGGCCATCTCGCAAGCCATCCCACGCGAGCGTTCCATCCACGACTTGCGCTGCCTTTGGCGGCAGGAGAGGCGATTAGAAGACTTGAGATCCTCAATTCGTCTGACGTCAATCAAACCGAGTCTCCCAGGCGAAGGGGACGAAGGCGAGCTGCACCAGCACAGGCACCGAGCTTGCATGGATTCGCATTCGCATGATGCCCCTTCGAGACTGGCCCCGCTGTTTGTCCATGAACCCTGTATGGGATGTCGTGTGACTGTTGGGCTATGTTGGGCTTGCGCGGCTAAGATCGCACAAGATTTCTAGCCAGCTGCTATTGCTGCTCTTGCTCCTGGTATCTCCTGGTTGACTACCGGCTGCAGGAATCAACAAAGCTGTGCGGTCCCCAAAAGCTGACACCATACAGCCGAGAAAGCAGCCGTCATCCATTCGAGCGAAACTCGTCTCGAACACCTCGCAGAATCCAAGAGCTGCGGCAGACCAGCCCAGCAGTGCTCTGACGCGCCTCCTTTGCATATGCCTCATCGACAGGATCCTGAACAGGCTGGGCTCCGCTCGAGATGGACAGAGACAAGCAGGAGCGGGAGTCAAGAGCGATAGAGATGGCACAGGAGCGAGTCTCAGTAACGGAGAGGACAAAGAAACAGATAGCCTCCATCAAACAAACAAGCAAACAAACAAACGAGACAGGAAGGTGGGAGATGTGGGAGAGGGAGGAAGACAGAGAGAGCCAGAGTTGGAGGAGAAAAGGCCGAAAGACTAGTTTAGGAGATTCCATTCCCGGAGCTTTGAGGATACCAGCTGAGGCTTAGGTGATGCAGAAGGGACAAAGGTAGCATCTTGGCAGCTGCGGACTTCAATCCTCTTCATCCTCATCGCCGTATGGATCATCATCTCCAGCCTGAGTGTATCCGTCCCTCGTCACAAGTTGCAAGACACGAAGTGCAAAGCCTGCTGCTTCGCAGGCTCGACGATGCCAATACCATCAATATCTCAGCAAGGACAACGGAACAGGGCGACGGCCATTAGCAGAACAACCTTTTCTGCGCTGGGCTCCCAGCGTAACACCTTGCATGTAGCTGCTTCATCCTCCTCGAGCTCAGCATAGCTCAACATGAGCAGGCAGCAAACGATCGAGGCTTAGAAGCCGGCCATGACCGGCAACTGGTTGAGGCCTTGGGTCACCACGTCAAGGCTTGGTTTACTTGGTTCGAAACTGCAGTTGTGGCCTTGGCCTTCACTGTCACAGATCCTGTTGCGCCCTGGTCTCTTCCAATGTCTTTATAGGCCCTTAGGGAGTCTCAGCAGAGCGCAAAAGGCCTTCTGTATCTTCTTCCTAGCTGTTGAAACCAGGCAACGCCCGAATCGAGAACTGTCACCCTTGCCAACTTGTCACCGTACCTCGACATATGTTTGACCGAGAACATGCTGTAGGAAGATATGCCGACGCGGAAATCATAGGCTGGATAGATAGCCGTTGTCATGCGTCCAGCTGACACGATGTGGAATCTGGCACCTGCAACATCCTAGGTGCAAAAGGTGCATGCATTCGGTGTGCAGAGAGATCTCGGATGCCAGCGAACAAGATTTCTGTGGTTGCACACGAGGTCCAGCAGCAAGTTCCTAATTACTCAACAGCTGCCTACAGATCTACGAATGCGGAGGCAGCCTGCTGATTCGACGAACAGCCAAGGACCAGGCGCATCTTCGCGGGTCAAGCCATTGCCTCGAAGGTCTAGATCCTGCACTGGGCTATCTTCATGAAGGAGACCTCGAAGAGCACAAGACTGCATGCTGCAAAGCCGTTGCTGAGTGTGCTTAGCTCAGCTGAGGCCGCTTCTACGAAGTGATTCATGAAGCAAGTTGTCTGCGAAGGTGGGCTCTCTCGGGTCCAGTTCCTGCAGAAAACTCATGGCACCACGTGGTTTGCTGCATGTTGCCACGTGACAATCTGCCACACCGGAGGTGTCGCGTCGCAGAGCTCGGAAGTGCCACATGGCCGCACGCCAAACGCGCCTCAACGCGGCACCCCGAGCACCAGAACGTGACGCATAGCGTCACGACGTGACACGTTTGCTGGCACTTATACTACCTCGCTTGAGGGTCCTAGCGGCTTTGGGAACCAGTCTTTCGAGGCAGGGCCTTTTTGAGCCATACCAGCCATCCAAAGCTTGGGGCGTTCGCGTCCTGTCACTCTTGTTGGTCCTGAACGCCAAATCCCGACCCTAGCCAGAAACCCGACCGTCCAGACCCAAAGGCACAGCTATCCCAGCCGCGAACCCAGACATCCCCTTCCCCAAATGTCGATGAGTTTTCAAACTTCGGCCTACAGTGACTCCCTTGAGGGCTTGTTGGGTTCCGGGCATCAAATGCACGACGAGGACTACTGACTACTACAACAACGGCAGCTGCAGTACTGCCACTGCGAGTGGAGCAGACGACTGCTATGACATGCTATGACCCTATGACTATTGCCAACAGTACCGCTGCTGCAACTGCCAGCATCAGAAGCCCAAACGACAAAGCCAACTACCATGACCACTACAACTACTAGCTGCGTTGACGAAGACAATGACGAAGCCGCGTAAGATATGATTATAGCGTAAGACATGACGCAGCCCAATGCAGCTTCCACTGCTATTACTGCAAGCATCAATCCCCGATCCAGTAGAAATTGACACAGAATTTGGGTGCCACCTACATAGGCTGGACTCGAACGAAAGCTCTCAGAAAGGGAACTTTCGCACAAGTAACCACTACTCAGACCATCTTGGTTCACTACCGTCGCATCTACGCCCGCCGCACCGGCACCTACGCACTCCGACTCCTGCTGCAGTCGCCACTGCCACCCTGCCCCCATCTACCAACAGTGCATACTTCTTGAGGTTTCACCTCCAGAATAGAGTTGAGGTCCGATCGAAACCCGACGGCTCCCGGATGCGGCGACCTCACTCCGAAGGCTACAAGAAACCTGCATCAAATTCCCGCACTACTCGGGGCGCGTCCTCGGCGATTCTGGCACAGGCCCGGCTGCTGCTTAAGCGCAGGTCCGGGCGCCAGTGGAAGCGCCTCAGTTCTGAGGCGCAGCGGAAAGCAAAGTCAGCCGGCCCTGGCCGCCACCAAACGGCGAAATAGTATAGGCGGCTGCGGCTACGGCTCCGGGGCGAAGTCTAAAACCCGAACAAGCCTTAAAGAACAGGTCGGCGAAACCTCTTCAGGGACCAGGCGTGCAATTCAAGATCTTTATATATACTTTTCAAAGGGTAAGTGGCGGAAATATGGGCAGATGCTGCTCTACTTTCTCAACTCGTATACTTCTCTTGCAAGCGACACAGCTCCGGCAATGCTTTAAAAGATGTACCGAATGTAAGGAAAAGAGGACTCTACTGCCGGTCTAGTCAAGGGAGTGGGCAATCGGAGCTGCGCTTAGAAGTGCTCCAAAGCTCGTTTTAAGCCTTCTGCAGCGAAAGGATCTGAAGCACTCTTGCTAGGCAGCATAGTGAAGCTCTCTGCATCTGAACATCTGCCAGCACTCGAAGTAGGCTCGCAAGTTGGGAGGCTTGACGGAAGATTCAGTGAACTCTAGGCCCTAGGCTTGGATGACTACTGACTTCAGCAGCTCATCGACGATGGGCTTGATGACAAAACAACTCTATGCACTGATCGTCGGACACCATCTCGAACGGTGTTGGTCATCCCACAGAGCTGCGCACGTTGGAGCAGACATGTCCTCGTCGCCCTCCTCATCGGCAAAGCGTGGAGCCTGCGACAGCAAATGCTTACCAACCCCGAAGGCCAGGTGTTTGTAGCTAGAACATCAAGCAGCAGACATCAAGCTCATCACCAGGTCGGACGAAGCGCAGGTGGCCTGTTCCGATCAAGGCTCTTCGCTCATGATTCACTTTGGGAAAGAGACCTCAATGGGCCCCTTGCTGCCCTGCCCGAGCCACAGTGGCTTGGAGCTCTCTGGCCACTCATCGGGTCTGGCCTTGCGGCTTGCGGGTGCCGGCAGCTGGTAGTTGCTTGGATCTAGTCCAACTGAGTTCTGCCTGCAGCATCTTGTTTCTCAAGCCGCACATCAGCAACCTGAGAGCAACAGTCAAACGAGGACCACACCAAAAAAAATCTTCCCGACTGAGCTGAGCGGAGCTGAGCCAAGCTGCGAGACCTTCTGAAGCTGCAACTCGCCCCGCGCCTGAAGAAAGCAGCTACCAAGGACAGCAGCATGTCTGTGTGCACCTTGCTCCATATGCACCTCGTCATCCATGGGCAGCGGCAAGTAGAGGTTCTGGCTCGGGTCTTCTGGCGGATCTCGGGTCATCCGAACGAGCTGAGCTATGCCGCTTCGTGCCCTCGGCTCCGAGCCCTTGTACGCTCTCCGGCTCGGAAAGCACAAGACTTGGATTTGCGGAGGGTGCAGTCTCTCAGCCTGAGACTGCGGCCAACGCATACATCGCATACTCAATGCCGGTGAAAGCAACTGAGCAGGAGCCTCAACTGGGAATGGCTCCTCCAGTGCCACCCCCGTCAAAGCCTTAGGGAGCAAAGTGTGCTTGGAGAGGTGCCATGCAGCTTGAACCCCAGGCCCCGGCATCAACAAAATCCTTCGGCGCCATGCCTTCAATCTCAGCACGCGAAATGGCCGTTCCAGCCTCCGAAACCCAAGGAATCATGTTTGGAATGCAAGGTTCACATCAACTGAAGACATGCTGACCACAATACGAGATGCAGGAGCTCGTACTGCAAGCGAACAAAGGATCGAGCACTGACGAGTTCCACGAACCTGTCGCTTCGGATGAGTGCTGCCTGCAGCAAGTGTCGGCGTCGGCACGAGTCGAGTCTGAGCTTGTCTGCGTCATCCAAGCCTGTATGCCGTCGAGCCAACTGTGCTGGCGCTTTTTGAAGCGCTTGCGTGCGAACCTAGAGGTGATCCACCTGGCTCTGGAAGCAGAACGTAAAAATCAACGGCACCCTAAACATGCAACTTACGGCGGAGCTGCGCAAAGGCTATAAGGATATTGACATGTACCCGCCGGGGCGGACTTCGGTTCGACTCGGATGCGCTCCACCGGCAAAGGCTTCTCACGGCCTGGACAAGAAACATTTCAACGTGGAGGCTTTGGAGCCACTGAAGCCCATTGCCGCTATCGACAACTAACAGCTGCATGTATTACCACCTGTCCAGAATGACGAAGACACTGCGAAATGGTCAACGCTCGCTATGCAGGTGCACTTGACAAAAGGCTCAAGAGAAGCTCTAAGCATCGAGCCACACATTGCAGCAAAAAGAGCGGGAAGAACGGCCGAGATGTTCTCGAAGCCGAACCTTCAACAAGAGCTTGCAAGATCACGTCAGTAAACTTGTGTGTTTCTAGAGCAAGCAAAGTGGTACTCAGGGCATACCAACACTTCAAGACTGAGGGGAGTTCTCGCGAAGTGCAGCGCTGCAGTCCAGCCCCTGCATTCTGCTACACTGCAGCACATGATGCATTTGCAGCATTGCTGCGCAACCTAATGCACATGTTTGCTGGCAGAACATCAAGCAGGGACTGCATGAACACGCGCAGGCTGCCTGCAGCAGCGCTTCGCTGACGACATTGTTCCTGCGTCCAGAGCTGCAGCTACACAGCCTTGTGCACAGTGATGCATCATTCGCAATCACTACGGAAATCGAGCTGCGGCAGACATGACGCTTGCCGACGGTCCTCAGGGAGATGGCATGCACGAAGCGCGGCACTCCTATCGATATCGAAACTGGCAAGAGAGACCGTGTTCGTCGTGAGATGCGGCCTTCAGCATGCGAAGAGAGATGTGGCCCCAAGCGAGCCTGCTGCGCTTTGACCTGGAAGTTGAACTCACCATGGACAGCGAAAGTGGAACAATCATCACACACAAACTATGGACTCGCTTTTTTTCGCGGCATAGAGCGCGTCTTTTTGCAGTGAAACTCCAAGCAAAAGACCCACGGCCGCAGCACGACGTCGCGCTGTCGTGCTTCGCGGCTTCATCGGCGCCGGACTGGGACTCAAAGCCAAGAGACCCCATCCAGGCCACTGAGATCGCGGCCTGCGAACAACAGCTGCAACACTTGCTCAGCGGAACATTGTGTAGTGTGCCGTGACGCTGCACCGGCCTGGCTCCTTTATGCCCACCACCGCTATGAAAGGATCGCCACCTAGGTGCCGAATTCTGGCTTCTCAAACTGTAGGAACTTTAGCAAGCTTGACAATGTATGTATGATTACGTATGACTACACCATGTCAGAAAAACAGCATGGAAGGTCAAGAGGGGCCTGAAGTCCGTGCTGGAAAGCTGACAGCATTGCGAACAACTTTCAATTCGGTTCAGACTGCAGCGGGGCTTGGCCAATACGCAATCAGCCGCAGGCCCTGGGTCCGGAGAAATGATGCTAAAGCATCGATGTAAAACGATTCCAGGCTGTAGACCCATGAAAAGAGGAATCGCAGCAACATGACGGGTTATCGCAAAACCGCTTCACGAAAGGGGCACGTTTCAAGCCGATTCTGCACAATGTTGATGTGCTTTCGGCGCAACCGCGAAAATCCTGACAGGTGTGTGGGTAGTAGACCTATGGGACACATGAGAGACAAGTCTCGGTGCTGATGCGGACAAGCTCCGAGCAGTACGGCTCCGCGCGACCAATTCGACGATCCGAATGTGGCACTCCGTCATCCACCAGGTGCCGGAGTTCCGGCATTGAATCACAGAATTTGAAATCACCATATGCTTTACACGAACGTCGCTGAAACATGTCGAACCGTGCCCCGACTTTGGCGAAAGAACTTCTTTTTCGACTACCCAGTAACAAGGTATTTGAGCCCTTGTCTTCTGAGAGTTGTTCATGATCAAGTCCCAGCACTGTCCAAAAACTACCAAAACTTGAAAGCCGCGGTGTGCCAAAATTTCAACATGGCAGCGCCAAACACCAAGATTGCCAGTACAAGTATGTTGGCGCTTCTCATGTGCACTTAGAGCTCAAGCTGAATCTCGAGTTGTAGAGTGAAGGTAAAGTGTCGCTCCGAAGGCTTCCTAGGTGATACTCTCGTATTTTCTGACCTGCAGGACGACTTACAAAGCTTCCACCTTCTACTCGTGACATGAATCTTTAGCGGGCTGATAAGATACATCTTGGAGTCTTGGATTACAGGGTGCCTTGCGCAATCAGGCTGGCGACCGAAAAGGATTGAGAAGAATGGCACGAGACGACTGAGCCCGACACGAAGCCAGTCCGTATCACTAACACCACGCACCCGGTTCGCAGCCTGGACATCCGTGAAGCCTGCCTCACTGAAGTAGCCCATCACAAGGTCAGCAAGGCCACGCATGGTCTTTTGAGAGCGCCAGACTTCGACTGCCTTTGTAAAAAACATCCGGTTCGAGAAGCTGACAATGAAGGTTCCACCAGGACGGAGCACTCTTCGTACTTCTGATATAAGCCGCACAGGGTTCTGCATATATTGGATCGAGACTGCCATGAGGACAGCGTCAAATGTATCGTCCTCAAACTCTGGCAGAGTTGGATCGTTGTTGAAATTTCTTGTGAATCGGGATGCTGCCCGAGTGTTTGCAAGCAGCTCCAGCTGGTTCATACCATGCACTGTCAGCTCGTAGTTGACGTCTGTGGGCAAGTGCGAGTCATGCTGAGAGCACAAGTCCAGCACCTGTCCGCCGGCAGGTATGAGGACTTTGTACAGCTGTCTCAGCTGTGCACGGAAAGCATCGTCGACATGGTAGACGCCAATGCGCGGGATCAAATAGAACAGTTCATCTGGGGTTCCATCCTGCAGCGTGAGGGAAGCCCATAACTTACATAGAAAACACACTCGTTATTTGCAGGGTCTTGCAGGACAAAATATTGTGACTCATTCACTCCGGCTCCAAGTGTCCAGTTTGTCTGTGTCGCACTCCGTCAATGCGCCCACCCTACAGCGCGAGTGCCGCAGCTGTTTTGACGTGTGCCGCAAAGCGGTGAATGCCACTGCCCCTGCGACTGCCGCAGCGCCTGAAGCCGTGCTGCACTACGCCAATCCCTTCCAGACGAGTCATCTTCACAATTCTGCGACACATCTGTGCTGCAGAAGGAGCTTAAAAAGAAAAGCAAAACGGAGGGTTCTCACCGATGCCCACCTGCTTGCTCGCTGCTTGATGCACGATTTCGGAAAAGGATCCCACCATGGGCAAGCTTTGTCTCAAATCTCAAATCCCTCTACATGTGAGTCTCTGGAATACTCCTGGGGCTATCGGATCCGCAACAGTGATTCGTCTGGAGGGAACGTTGCGTGATGCAAGCGGGGCTCCCCAGTCACCTCGCGTACAAACAGCTGGACGTTGATGACCCCAGGGCTGAAATGATCTTGCAGGCCACGAGTGCCAGCTGGTCGCCTGATTACTGATTTGACTCTGGTAAATTCAGAGATTCGTTAATTACAACATCACCTCTCGTTACAGCAATTGACGGAATGGTCCATGGGGAAAGTGACACTTCGCGGTGCCCGGAACATCACATGCCGGCTGCAAGTTACAAGTAGAGTGATCCGAGCCGAGACACCTTTGTGCAAGGAGATCTGCCCAGCAAAGCAAGCTCCATGGCGACAAAGGCACCAAGACAACAGCAGACCGTCGATATTGAGCAAACTTGCCTGCTTACAATGCGGCTTACAAACATAGGAGCTACAATGAGAGAGATGTTGCTTAAACTTCAATATGTATACGTGCTCAAATCAGGCTGCAGCTGTTTCTGCACGCTTGTCCGAGAAGTTCAGATCGATGAGAAGGGGAGTCCGACCTTGGCCGAGCTCCGCAGCGCAGTTGCAGCACCCATGCCACATTCTTGCACGACCTTTCGGTGGGAATGCTGAGGGCATGTCTCAGAATCCGAAGGACGTCACAGAAAGCATCGACGTCGGCTTCAGCTTGAAGGCTTGCCTTCAGCCTTACAGATCTCTAAGACCGAAGCGCTCGCAATTTCATAATGTGCCAGTACATCAGCACCCTGCCCGCAAATCACCGCAACATCGAGGCACCGATCCGGACGAGCTGAGAACCATGCAAAGCCTCTCCACTTCCACCGCCATCTGTCAGCTCGGTAGCCACACCTTTTCTCGGTGGAATGTGTACACCGGCTATGCGACCACAACAACGCTCCTCTCAGAATTGCCTTCCAAGCATTGCATCAAGAGGAGGCAGGTCAGCTCTGGCCTGGCAGCCCCCATCCGTCATGCGGCCACCCGATGCAGAAACATGCCGAGCAAGGCGACTCTCTCATGTTTGGTCCACCAAGCGCCAGGTCATTGAACTGCTCCAGGTGGGGGAGCGCCTTAAACTACGCAGCCGCATGCAGCCGCATGCAGCCGCAGCATGCCCAGGATGCCAGGCTTGTGCTGGGATCTATGACCCAAGACGGGCTTGCAGTGTCTTTTACTGAGCCATCCGATACCTTGGGCGAGCTTTGCTGCAAGTAACTGTTGGCGATTCGGCACCAAAATAGTCGCGGCCGGTGGCACCAGGTCTGGGAGAATTGGCTTGGGAAATCACCACGGATTCGGAAGTTGGTCACGAATAGTGGCGGTTTTAGAAGCGCGGTCAGTTGCAACAGCTTCTTGGCTCTGATTCTGATGAAGCATCTGAGCACGTGGTCAGGAGCGTGAAGATGCATATGATGAGCCGGTGACCGACAGCAAACCATGAAGGGCTTGCCAATGGATCCTCCAAGCAGGGAATATGCGGGCATCGCGCAGGTGCAGACTGCTGTGCTTGGTGTCCTCCTTCGCTGCAGTCTGTCCTCAAACAACCACCGAGGCCTCAGCTCTGGCTGAAGTCCAAGCTCCTCGCGCTGAGAAGTCTCGGCCCGCTGCGCGCTGCCAATCGAAGTCCACTCGGGCGGCAACTGGGTGTCCTTTAGGACAGCCTGGGCAGAATGGGTTTGTGTGCTAGGCTGCTAGACCACAAAAGCGGCTGCTAAGCATCTTGCCGAAGCGAAACCCAAGACCTTCAGGCCGGCCAAGGACGTGCAAACCGTTAACACCTGCGCAGGCTGTGGGTATCTGGCACGAATCACAGTAGAACTCAGAGCACGATTCAATCGTGCGCCCGAAGGAGCTCCATCGACCGCAGTCCATACCCAAGAGGTAGTGCAATGGAGACCTGACATCCAGGTCACAGTCCCAGCGACTAAACAAACAGTCTTGTAAGCAAACTAATTACTTGCAGCTGCACCTGGCGCAACATGTGACCAGCGCTGTGTAGCATGCCAAGGCTTGCCGGAATCAGATCAGGATTTGCGCCTGCACTAACTGCATCAGGAGCGGCTGCAAAGCCCTCAGCACCCTATTGGCCTTGGCAAGCTTCCTTCGGGTACTCCACCTTTGGCTTTGCGCTTGGGCCCAAGGTAAACCTGGCAAAGACCGGTGAGCGAAACCCGTTGGGTGGTCTATCTTCATGGAGCATCGAAGACGTATATGGGTTAGATTCATGCAGCCTTCGCCTAACATGAGTGAAGAATATGCCGGCAACATCAACATGCCAAAAGTTCAGTTGAATGCCTGTACGCAGCAGTGAAGAACAGCTCCTTCACACCTGCAAATAATGATGTTTCAAGTGAATTCTTTGCAGATTGATCTGCTTTTGGTATGTTCTGGCATGCAAAGCAGAGGTTCCCAGACAAAGCAACCTATTCATCACTGGGAGCTCTGGCTTTGTCCTTTGGCGATGTCCCTGGAAGATGAAAAAAAGGCCAGCTGAAGGCGAGTCCGTCCGCGTCGATGCAACGTCTGAAGGTGCAATGCCACATGGGGCCCAGGTCTGTTTAGCCGCACCGATGCGGTCGCAAAGCTGTGCGAGTCTTGTCTCGGTCCCAACTGGCAGGCTGTCGGCAACTGTGGCAGTGCATACAGTATCCAGCTACCGCAATTCCTTCATTCATGCCTCAGTTGTTCGAGTGGCTTCAGCTTGCTTTGGGCTTAGAGATTCATAATTCCCTCGCCTGCACCTTCCGGCAGACTTTGCTACTCGGCCAGGATGAAGAACCCACACCACTTCGGACTGCCGCTTCCCCCATTTTGTCCCAGTCTTTCGATCTCGTGGCTCCCCAATCTGCGCGCAACAACTGTCGCGTGTTCTGGCTCCGACTGCAGACGTGCATGGAGCAACTTCACTTCCCCCAACTGGGGCGTCAGCAAGACATCCGAAGCTGCTCAAGCCCATGCAGTTCCCTCTTGATTTTTGCAGCTGTTGGCAGTCCCGATCCGGATCCGGGGCCAAAAGGCTGTTGGTGGTCCTTGCATCTTTGCTCCTGTCTGTGTCGCCCCCTGGCTCGAGCCCTGAAGATTCCTCTCCGGGGGTGGATTCTTCCGAACCGAACCTGGTGTTGCCCTGTGCGCGAAGTAGCTAGCGGTGCGGCAGAAGGCGACAAACGCGGCGTAGTCCGCAACTTCGGCTAGACCCACACGCCAGGGGTGGATAAAGGTAGGGACGACAGCGATGGGAGCAAGCCCCGACCGCACGCGAGAGGGTGTAATGGGGCGCGAAGTTTGCTTGGCCTGAATGGCCAGCACCATGCTGCCCTGCCTGTATCACATGCAGAGACAGAGAAACTTGATCCGAGTCACTAGAGTCTCCGAGTATGGTTGAAGGAGCGCTCGATTCGAGGCTTGCTGCTGACAACTAGCAGCCAGGAGGGGGAACACAAACCAAAGAACACTGGCATTCTGTGGTCTGACATTCTGCGCTGTTCGGCCTGTCCAGCTCCGCCTTGCTGGCGGACAGCAGCCACATGTACACGGCCATCTGCACACATTGCAGAATAGAGCGACAACCAACTGTGTGCTGTGTCAGAGCGGAGCGCAAAGCATCTTCACAAAACAGACGAACCAACCTGTGCTCGTGGCCATCCGCTGCTGCGCTCTGGAGGGAAGGCCCGGACCTTAGACAGATTGTGCTACCGCTTTACCAAGACATCCTCTACACCATGCTTCATAACATGGCATGCTCCAGCGGCCTTGTTCTCCTTTGCATCGCGGAGAGATGCCTCGCACTTGTGCAACACCCATCAAGACAGCGTCGAAACCCGACCCATCCTTTCAAAGGCCCCTGCATATTCCAAATTGGGGGTGCGGGTACACGCGAAGCTCTGCAGAGAAGGATGGTTCGCCAGGCCAACCCCGAGCTGTTGCAACATCTGCCAGGATGGTGAGAATCTGCTGCAAAGAGGGAGTAAAGGACTCTCCCGAAGCAAACCTGCTGACGCTCCGGGGTGTCGTGGCAATGCCCAAGCGGGAGCCTCGTGCTGGCCAGAACACATACAGACTGTAACAGACTTTATAGGACTATAGCGGCTCTCGGGCATTTCCAGGTTCATAGCCCGGTTCGTTGTCGCAGTTGAGTCTTTGCTGAAGGCTTGTACGCTGGGTGCCCTGCGCCACTTGGACGAGCGTGTGGTTTTCAATGACTGCACGAGCAAGCAGAGCAGATCCCTGGTCACGACTCAGAACATGCGCAGAGCAACCTCAAGAGACTCAAGAGCAACACCACTCTTGGCACCTCTTGTGTGACAGGAAGGCCCACACCTGACGGTCAGTCTTAGAGACTTCCGATTCGGGCTTGTGGCAGAATCTTGGGGTTCTCGCAATTCAGCTTGGTCAAGACTTTCGTTTCCTGCCATCTTGAGCTTTAGCCTTTGGCCCGCTGTCTCAGCCAAAGGGGTGCCTTGATGTGCCGCGTCAGCTTTCGAATGCCATCGCGAGACATGAAATTCCAAGAGATGTTGAGATCGGTAACCTCTGCAATGGGATTTTTCATCTGTCCAGCGTACATGATCGGCAGGCATGTAATCCGCCGAGGCCGGAAGCCCCAGGCGTTTTGATCCGTGAGTTCGGGGAGTTTGGGTGGTTGTATTGTAGTAGAGTAGTAACCCACCCCCTACCCCCTCCCAGCGGCGCGATTCGGCTCGGCGGGGGGGGAGGGGGGGGAGGGGGGGGGGGGGAGGG